GAACAATTATGCGAAGTTTCACGGAACTTGTAGAAGGAAAAATGAAATCGATTCTTTAGTTGTTCCACGCCTGCTAAATTTCCATTCCGGACCACTGTGCAGTGATACCGCCACAACAGGGTGGATTTCACTGAGGATGATATAAATCTTCGCACCTGCCCCCAAGATTACTGATATTCGCTTCATTTCTCTTATATTCGTTCGTCGTGTGCGACGGTACTCGAAGCATCGGTATCTCAGCAAAACTCTCGAATGATGTGGATGCCCACATAAAAGCAAATCGTAAATAATGCTCGGTGAGTGCCGATGCACCACTCAAACCTTCGGGCTGCGTGCTCTTCTTCTCTTTGTCGTTCGCATCACGAGCGGTGGAGAGCGTTCTTCGTATGCTTTGGTCTTCATGACGAAGCGAATGGTTTTTCGCATCAACGCGATGCTCAAGGCTCAAGCTCAATGACAGCGGAAGCGGAACGGCAACGGCAGCGGAAAAGCCCGATCTGAGTAAACCTACTTGTCGGATTGAAAACTAATTAGAACCAAATCGACTTTGGCTAGTCTTTTTGATGTCATTTGTGACAACTGTCAAACTTTCCGTTTCCGTTCCGCTACCGCCCACATTGCACTTGGGCCTTCATGCTTTGATCCTCGTGTAAAATATTTGAATATTCTCTAATGATGTCGCACGAAGCGTATTGGCGCTGACAATGTCTCTCCGTCGGGAAGCTATTTTTTTTTCTAACGATGTTTATCATTAATGTTTGTGTAAATGAAACAAAAAATATTCCCTTTTGCACTAACGCACGTAAACTCACTTTCAAAATCAAGACACTCGTCATCACAAGCAGCGTTGCCAGGTGATTTTCAGAAAAAATAAAACTGGAGCTGGTAAAATATAAAATCTGGAAAAATTTGGAATGCTCCAAAAAATTCTCTTTTTAAAATAATGCTATTGAAATCAAAGTGCCAATCGCCCGTAAAAATAGGTCAGTATGATCATCTGGAATTTATGTAAAGTACTAGAATAGTTATAAATTACATGTTTAAATAAATTATATAAATCAAATAACTTGTAAGCATTGCTAAAATCATCCAAAAGTTGAAAAGTATTGACACGGTGTGCCCAAAAATATATCTATTATATTAGTCTATCTATTCTATATATTCTATATCTATTAGTCAGCATTTCAAAAATTGAGTTAAATGTGGGTAAAAAACATCAGAAAATATGGTTAGAATTGTTTTTTAAACTGAAACTTTTTAAAAAAGAATGAGAAGCAAAGAATCAAGGAAATTTTATGGGATGGAGTTTTTAAACTAATAGTCGATGTAGCCCTTACTATTTGATGCAATGCCAGAATTTAAAGATTTTATTAGTTCTAAATAATTCCAATACTACTCTGAGGTTGATCAGATTTACAGTTTAATTCTTTACATCATACAACACACAACACCCAGCAGACCAGTAGGCCATTTAATTTTGAGGCAAAATTCACCGGGCTGAAGTGGGAATCAAAGCCTAACATCGTGGGACTCACACACAGTTTAACTAAACTACGGGTAACTCTTCTATTCGCATGACCATTACGAATAATGTTATGCCAAAGAATAATTTTATTACATTACTAAAATGAAAGTCTGATAGCTTCATTTTTGAAGTATCAGAATCATGCAATGATTCTAAATTCTGGAATTTATATTTTTCCTGCGTCCCAGATCATTTTTCTTAGTCTGAATTTACTTGAAACTCTTCACAGGATATCTTCACCTTATTTTTAGTTCAATTTGAATCATCCTAGAACTCCATCAATATTTCTTTTCTATATTCCCCTAAAATAATCTTGAACATATCTTAACTTTTCCAGTAACATTCTAAGAGTTGTTAGCATTACCTCTAGTAATATCTTATAAATCACTCTCCAATTCCACAACTCCCTCAAACTGGCAAGAAATTGTTCAATTTTGTGTCCATTTTTCTCTATGAAATTCTAAAAATATTCTTAAAAATTTCCTTGGTACACTCTTTAGAATGACCATCCACGTTTCTCAGATTTATCCGATTATTCCCTTTGAACTGCTTTGTAGGTAAGGTCAGAATTGTTATGAAATCCTTTTCAGTATTACCTAAGTACTCAAGTACTTTGCCAGAATGGTTTTGAAAGTGTCCCAGATATTGCGCCTAAAATTTTATTAAAATTAATCCCCATAGAAACATTGGACAGAATTTCTTTGAAATTATTCTCAGGCTTCGTATCAGCACACTCCTTAAGTTTCATCATAAGAATTTTATGATTTCTCTTCAGGATTGTATTTCCTTTATTGACAAAATCTCCATGCAATTGTCATCAGAGTTGACAAGAAATTGACACCGTCTTTAACCAGAGGTTGCACAGACTGAATATTTAGCACTAGACAACGGACAACACACCACACCCATTAGACCAGAAGGGAAATTTTCAGGTTGCCAAAATTTGCACCGGCGGGAATCGAACCCTCACTTCGTGGCACTCATAATACGCCTAAATGATGGGTGACGCCGCACGACTACGAAGCCCACAAAGACGGATGTTATTCTACTCAGAAGTAGCTTGAAATTCTCCTTTGATTTCACAAAGAATTCGCCTCACACTTAACTGTGATCTATTTTCAGAATAACCTTAAAATTCCAATAATTTCCAACGTTGATGGCCTTTAATAATTAAAGTAGCAAGTTTGGATTTTTATTTTTTTATTGGAGTTAAAATCAATTGCAATGGTATTTTCAAAGCAACATGTTTAACAAATATGGGAAAATCTGGAAATATACGTGGTCTGTCTGTGTATCTGGCAAGACGACTAAGAATCTGTTAAATCCAGATAAATCTGGAATACTGACAACGCTGAAAGCAACCACACAAAGCCTCGTTCATGAACGATAATAGCAATGATGCTCTTCATTAAGAGGATCAATCCGGGTCTTGGCGAGTAAGAGAGGTGACACAGTCGGAAGAAGTGTTAGTTTGTTTACTAAAATGAACCGCCCATTTTGTTATGGCTAGTTTTGCTATAAGAAATGCTCCTCGTGTTTATTAGCGAAATTCACATCAAAGATTGATTAATTGCGTAGGAAATCAGTTTGGCACGGCATTTGTGATCAGCATACACCTTCCGGTCGTATGAAACAGGTCAGAAACTGTCCAAATCCGCAGATAAAAAATTTTGTTTTGAATTTCTGTATGGCAAAATAGTGAACTTTTCGTGAACATTAACGGCAAAGAACTCACCAACACTGGGAGACCGTGAGTTCCTGCCCACCTGTCATTTACCTTCCAGGTATATGCTGATCACAAATGCCGTGCCAAACTGATTTCCTACGCAATTAATCAATCTTTGATGTGAATTTCGCTAATAAACACGAGGAGCATTTCTTATAGCAAAACTTGCCATAACAAAATGGGCGGTTCATTTTAGTAAACAAACTAACACTTCTTCCGACTGTGTCACCTCTCTTACTCGCCTAGCCCAAATCCCACCTATAGTCGCTATATTCATAGTCTGGCGGATAGATTTCGATCTATCAAAAAGCTGAACCAATTCTATATGTTGTAGACCAACAATTGAAAAGGTACTATCAACTTTTATAAACAAAACGTTGATTATTATTTCCTCGCCAATGGAAGGTAAATTACCAGCATCATCGGATAGCGGAAACTTTCCACAACCTAAAGATGGTGTTAGTTTGTGTAGGCGAGCCTTGAGTCACGAGAAAACGGTTTCCGAAATTTTGTTGTTGGTCGTGATTTGCTCGATTGGTTCCGCTATATGACAGCTCAATTGGTTCCCGAAATTCTATCCGCCAGACTATGAACATAGCGACTATAATCCCACCTGCTCTAACAATATTGGGCGATTTTCAAGCAGATGCTCAAGATGACTGGGATGCCGTTGACATGGTGAGATGCTGGAATATACTGCACTCAAAAAATTTCACACGTTTGATCAAAGTGTTTAAACACTTGATTTTTTAAATGCAGAATCACATTTACTTTAAGTGTATTTCACCTTGGTTCGATGTGTTATACACGTTAATTTAGAGTGTTTCAAACTTTGAAATGTTGAAAAATTTTCACTTTCTATTAAAGTGTATTGCACATTGAATCACGCTACTGCTCAAAACAGATGGATTTAAAGTGTTTTGCATTTCAATACGATGTGAATTGCTTGCTCAGAAAGGTAAACATCGAAAACAAGAGTTGTGACTTTATCCTATTAACCCGCCTCATATATGAGAACAACCCTGGCACAGTGAGATAGAACGAAGACTCCGGCAGCAGCACACCTCAACAGCCCATGATCGAATCCCAAATCAGACCCATTAAAAAGATATGTGATAGCTCCGGCTTCTGGCAGTTTTGATTATATATTTGTCGTTTCAATTTTTTCGTGTCGGTAAAGTAGAAGTCAATAAAGTAGAATATTGAACTATGGTGTGCAAAGCTATTGATATCACCATATGAGACACATAGAATCCAAGTGTGTCACAATTCAAACCCATAGTGTTCAGGCATGGTTCATAGCATAAGATTCACACATGAAATGGATGTGTTTCACAATAAGCGCAAAATTAAGTGTGAGACACATGATGATGGCGTGTGGAATTTTTTGAGTGTGGATAAACTGGCCACTGAGGTTGACCAAGCTTTTGTACAGCGGCATGCATCGTGAAGATAGTTCACGATTTCTTCAGAAGCTCTTCGAAATATTTTTCGGATATATTTTATAGAGTGCAATCAAAAAGCTTAATTTTGATATTTTGAGATCTGCCTACTAGATATAAGAGAATTGGTAAACGATCCAAAGGTCATATCCGAAGTTTACCATTTCAACATTATTTAAACGATTGTTAAGCAAATATTGTCGATATCTGGAAACGAATTAACCCCGCTATTGTTTAAATAGACTCGTGCCCTAGCATTCATATTTAATTAACGGGTTATTTTATTTTCCCTTCTATTGATTTACAGCATCATACCCGGTTCATCTGGCAGCCAAACAATATCTGCCAACCGTCGTAGCACCCACCATAGCCACCCCCACTCACGTGAGTATGGTTCATCCAGCGTTGTCTGTTTGATTTATAAAATTACGTTTCCATTTAAAAGTCTCCAAGTGATTTGATTTGAAAATTAAAAATATGCGCTATTTCAATTTTCCAAACACCCATCGCGTGCCATTCATTCCAGATTAAACAGCTGATCCCGGTGACGACCGCTTCGACCACCCACCACCACGGCAAAGGCATCAGTTATTCCTCATTCACCCAGCAGGCAAATCCTGCCGCTCTAGCTCACCTGCAAAACCACGCTCCCTACTACAACACCGCCGGAGCCCACTACTACCAACAACAACAGCAACAGCAACAACAACAACAACAGCAACAGCAACAACAACAACAACAACAACAGCAACAGCAACAACAACAACAACAACAGATACACCAATACCAAAATCAGCAAGCCCAGCCACAGTCACCTGCGCGTTTCCAAATCTATTCTACGGTGGCGACCCCATTGCAAAAGCCATCGATCCTGTACGCCCAATCGGGAGCCATCTACGCCACGGCAGCCTCTCCTCTGTACCATCAACAGCAGCAATCCCAGCAACAACAACATCAACATCAACAACAACAACAACAACAGGCCCAACAATCGTCCCCGATCCACTACGGTTCCCATCTGTATCATCCGCAACCACCTTTGCAATCGTACGCCCCCCTAGCCAAACTCGCCTACACTCCGGGAGCTGCCTCGCTGCAGAAAGGCTTCTATCCGTTTCAGTGATAGGGAACATCGCCCTATCGCTCGCTCGCTCCCTCTTCGGTTCGGAGGGCGATCTGGTCTGCCATCATCATTCCGTTTAGCGTTAGTTTTCCGGCAAAACAATAGCCAAGCTGAGTCTCCTCCTTCCCCGGCACCCACACTGTCACGTGCATTGTCGGTGCGTTTGTTGGTGTCCGATATTTATTGGTTTATTGATAAGATTGAAGTTTGTTATGTATTTTTTATTTTATATTTGCCCTATACAGCATTGAAACACAATAGGGAGGGGATTGTTGATGTTGATTAATAGACCGACGATCGTTAAATCGAGCACAATTGTTTCGCGGTGGAAAATGATTGAGAAATCCTTGCGTGCACCTGGTACCGGGCAAGGGCTGGCGTACTTCCCTCAATTTCAAGCAGCAGATTTGTATTTCCCGATTGCAGTTATTGAGCTTTATAGGGAGCAACAAATTGCAGCTCATGGAGAATGAAACGCAATTTTTCAGCATACACCGTTTGAAATTCATTTAAATTTCTCCAATATAGCGCACACGTAGCTAACGCAATGTTTGGCTCAAATTTACATAATATTTCATTACATTTAAACGCAATAGGTTTCCTACGATATTTACTTCCATTATTCCATTAGCTTGGAAGGTAGGAAGTATCCGAGAGTGAAGCCAATGATTGAAATGAATACAAACATAGTGATGGCTAGTAGAAATACTCAGAGAAGCTAGCATTTCACACGACTTTTACTTTTGATTCGATTTACCCACAGTAATAATTGAGTGCATCGCAATATTTTGCAACTGAGATCAATTAACATTAGAGCTACACACTTAGTTTTGATGTAGACTACGTCTTACGGGAAGGTACTGGGGTAAATCGAAAATCTAAAATTGCGACCGTCACGAAAAGATGTAATTTTTTGAGCTTGAGCTTGAGCTTGATTGACCGCCCACGGTTGCTACTCTGTTATTGCCAGATCAGCTGTAATTACACAGAGAACCAATAGACGATGCTTGGGACTAGCAATCATCCTCAATGTGTAAAAACTGGTGATCTTAAATTAGGCAATACCAGCGCCGGCCGCGCCCGAACACAGGTCAAGAAAGGAATGGGAAGGATTGTGTTGACATGACACTCGCTTTGATGGAAGCCGAGAACACCTCTGCACTTCCACGAGGAATCACAGGGATGTTGGGTAAGAGGGTTGGGTTTGCAGCAGGGTTCGTTTTGGTAAATGATAAGCTAAATTAATGTCCTAACGATCATATAACGCGAAGGAGCTTGGGACTAAACCCACGGTCTTCTGCTCAGTAAGCAAAAACGTTTGCCACTAGGCAGACGAGCACCTTTTTAATCACCGAGTTGCTGTTATTACCATGTAGTCATATTAACAAATAAAACGATTGACGAATCTTGAATGTGGATGGGCCTGAGATTAGACTCATGATGTTCTGCACAGTAAGCAAAAACGGTTGCTCTATGGCCACCGAGCCCCTCATATCACATAATACCGTTGCTCAAATTTTTGTATCCATTCAAACCCGGAACCAACGACAACAACGAGTTTCGCAAGATACACGATACACAAGCGATTTTACCATAAATCTCTTTGATATGTAAGGACCTGGGACCGCGTTTTTCTGCTCAGTAAGCAGGCTACTGTAACCGACGATCTTTCAAATCCGAAAACTAAAAACTACGAAAAAGTACTTAGGCCTTCATTAAGTTCCACTTTCACGCGACGATCAATGTTTCAATTTGCTCTTTACGTATTGTTCAGGCTATAAATAGGCTCTTTTCAAAAGTTACGCGAGAAATACGCACAATCGTCGCCTACCTCGCAAAACTGGTTCCAAACGACAACAAAGGCATAAGCAACGATGGATTGTTGAACTTTGCTGGCTCCAGTGGTGTAGTGCACAGCAAAAAAAAATGTAATATCGATCAACGTAATTCAAGCTGATGTATGAAATAATGATGTAATTGTAAATTTGTAATTTAGCAGCACACACCCTGGTCGACCACTGTAAACCAATCTGCCGTTAAGCGAGTGTGTACCTACTGAAACCTGGCCGTAGGCCTATGCTATACCGTATAGCATAACGACCTTCTTCCACTAGCAGGCCTGTTTCTGTTTGCATAGACAGTCCCACTAGTTTCCGATACATTTATAGGGGATAGTAGGAGATTAAAAGAATGGAGAAGAGTTAAAGAGGTTTTTTTGTTGTTGTTTTGCTGAAAAGAGAGAAACATAACTAAACGAAATTACACCTGCTGAAAATAGATAAGTCTATTATTTTGGTTAGTGATCGTTTGGATTTGGGTCACCCCACGTTGTGTTTAGGTTAGTATAAATAAATGATACTAAATAGTCATATAAATCACCACAGCTCATTATCTTCAGCGTTATCGGTTTTTGTTTCTGGATCTTTAGTTGCCTCTGTGATATACTTACTTGCGGCATACTATTTTGGGAGATTATATGAGCGTGTACCATGTAGCTCATCTCTCATCGTGATGGTGGGACATAGTAGACAAATTAGAGAGAAAACAAGGAGGTATTAGTATTAGTTATATGTAAACAAACAAAACAAAGGAAGAGAAGAGGAACGAAGAGCAGAAAAATAAAAAAGGAATAAAGTAGATAACAAAGAAAAGAAACCAGTGAAAGACATTCATTGTCAGAGTGTACCTCGTGCGCGCTTACTCCGGCTATATTTTCGATTATTTTCCGCGTTCTTGTTCAGAATAAAATCCGAGTACGAGCCAACTAACTGCAGCTACGGTCCGTTTATCAAGCGAAACTAGATGATACTGAAATTTCGTGCTGGTTTTATCGTAAATGCGATCTGAATAATTGCAATTTGGTGTCCATCGTACAATTGTTAGACACAGAAGATAGTTGTAGTGCTCAGAAGTACATAGACAATAAACAGTATTGAAAACCTCTGGGATATCTGTGTGTCGATCCCCACAGTGGATTTGCAAGACTGTATGCGTTGTGTACCGCTGTGAATAAACTATATAGTGTATGAGCTAAACGAGGAGATAAAAACAAACACCCGAGAATAACAACAATCCTGTTTCATCATTGACGACCGCAGAGTTCAACTTCGCTTTCGATTGTAACAATCAGTCAACCTCCTAGCTGCTGCGAGCAGCAGGAGTCTCTGATCTGGATGGCTGATCCATCGATCACCAAACCACCGGACATCCCGGGAAACACACAAGGCAATCCCGGTCCTAGCCATGTAAACAAAGATAGACGTACCTTGCCTCTCTGGATCGATAGACATAACAAGCACGGCGATGCGGAGTATTGGTTGCTGCAGGGCATAAACAATGCTCCACTCCCAAGAAAACCTCTCATGATAGGGATATCTATTGAGCTCGCAGCTGGAGGACCTATTGCTTCAGCCATATCAGAATCTCGCGGGACGAAATACACCCTTCAAGTTCGTAACAGAAGCCAGGCCGAAAAGCTGCTCAACATGAATAAGTTAACTGATGATACACCAGTTCAGGTAACTTATCACCCTACGCGCAACATATGCCGATGCGTCGTTACTTGCTGGGATATGGTTGAGACTGACATCGAAGAGATTAAGGAATATCTTGAGAAACAGGGTGTTGTGGATGTACGGCGTATCTCTCGTCGAACTCAAGAAGGTCTAATCAACACTGGAACAATGATATTAACGTGCAAAGGAACGGTTCCACCAAAACACGTCAAGTTCGGTGCCTTGCGCGTTGCAACCCGTGTGTTCTACCCTTCACCCATGCTTTGTTTTAGATGTTACTCCTTCGGTCATACCAAAACTAAGTGCAAAGGTAATACCGTATGTCGAAATTGCTCCAATGTAGACGAATCAACCGAAATCTGCGACAAACCAGCTTACTGCAAAAACTGCAAACAGAACCATTCGCCCGCCGACCGTTCCTGTCCAGCTTATAAGACTGAGGTGGAAATAATAAAAATCAAAACCGACGAAGGCCTGACATACCCAGAAGCCAAAGAAGCGTACAAGAGTAGAGTGACAAAATCTAAGGGTACGTATGCAAATGCACTGCAACAAAGATTGACCGAAGCCCAAGCGAAAAATGACGAAATTATCGCACTGACCAATCTTGTCAAACAAAAGGATGAAGCTAATAAATTACTGCTAAATGAAAACCAGGAGCTACGAAAACAAGTTACAGAACTTCAACAAACATTGAACCAAGTGCTGGAAGGTCAAAAGAGGTTACAGGAACAATTCAGGCAGCATGTCCAACAAAGTCAGCAGCATAATCAAGAGAAAAATCTACGTGACCAATCACAGTCAAAGAAACAAATCCCGGAACAGCCGTCAGGAACAAACTCCACAGAGAACCATCGTATGTCGACTAGGTCACAAAAGCGAAGCAAACTGCAAAGTAACAATAAGGATGCCGAAAAAGATTCACAGAATGCACATAAGAAAAGAACCGTCCCCAAGCTTTCCGGAAAACCTCCAAAACTTCACAAAAGTGAAGAACTGAATTTATCATTCAGCAACGACGAAAGCGACACTACTCTACATACTAACGCAACTGACGATTTGTCTATGAGAAACTTTTCAGACGATGAAATGGCTGAGATAGACAGTTAGACAGCCTAAACCACGTGTGAACCAAGCTTTACATGACCCCTGGCAACACCAATGGAATGACCCTACCTATCACTACGTAACTATTTATGGATCTGACACAAAATCATCAAACAACAAATGAAGAAATCGATCTGGAATTTCGTAACAGTGCCACTCTTCCCGAAATGCATGCCAACGATACGTTTCTTCAATTTGGAGGGGAAGAGATGAAAGTAGCCCCTCCACTGCCTGAACAGGCAGAGGTCGTACCGGGGATAGTAGACAAGGCCGTCAATAAACTAACGTCTCATCCCATCTCCGGTCTTCCTGTTGAAGCCATCGATAATACATCAGCTCAGAGGACTTTTGGAACGACTGCAGAACCACATCAACCAC